CAATCCAAATGCCCATTACTGATAGACTGGATAAAGAAAATGTGGCACATATACACTGTGGAATACTATGCAGCCATAAAAAAGGACGAGCTCATGTTCTTTGCAGGGACATGGATAAAACTAGAAAACATCATTTTCAGTAAACTAACACAAGAACAGCAAACCAAATACCACCTTGTTCTCACTCATTGGTGGGAGTTGAACAATGAGTATACATGGACATAGGGAGGGGAACATCACACACTGGTGCTTGTCAGGGTGTGTGGGGCTAGGGGAGGGATAACATTAGGAGAAATACCTAACGTAGATGATGGGTTGGTGGGTGCAGCAAACCACCATGGCACATGTATACCTATGTAACAAACCTGCACGTTCTGCACATGTGTCCCAGAACTTAAAGTTAAATAAATAAATAAATAAATAAATAAATAAATAAATAAATAAACAAACACTTAGAGATAAATGAAAATAAAGAAAACAGCCCGGTGCAGTGACTCATGTCTGCAATCCCAGCACTTTGGGAGGCCAAGGTAGGTGGTCTGCTTGAGCCCAGGAGTTCCAGACCAGCCTGGGCAATGTGACAAAACCTCTTCTCTACAAAAACATACAAAAATTACTTGAGTGTGGTAGAATATGCCTGTAGTCCCAGCTAGTTGGAAGGCTGAGGTGGCATGATCACCTAAGCCCAGTGAGTTTGAGGCTGCAGTTAGCAGTGATTGCAGCACTGCACTCCAGTTTGGACGACAGAGACCCTGAGAAAGAAAAGAAAAGAAAAGAGAAAGGAAAGAAAGGAAAGAAAGGAAAGGAAGGAAGGAAGGAAGGAAGGAAGGCAGGCAGGCAAGCAAGCAGTGCCAAAAGAGAAATTTATGCCTATAAATGCTTACATTAAAAAACAAGAAAGATCTGAAATAAAAAACCTAACTTTACAATTTAAGAGGCCAGAAAAAGAAGAAAAACTAAACTCAAAGCTAGCAGAAGGAAGGTTATAATAAAGAATAGAGCATAGACAAACAAAATAGAGAATGGAAAAATAATAGAAAATCAACAAACCGAAAGTTGGCTCTTTAAAAAAAAGTTTAAAAAAAAAAAGACAAAACTTTCACTGTATGGTCTAGGAAAAAAAAAAAAAAGTAGGCCGAAATTACTAAAATCAGAAATAATAGAAAGGAGATTACTACTCATTCTATAGAAATAAAATGGAATATGAGACTACTATGAACAATTTTAGGAGAACAAATTGGATAACCCAAATGAAATGAACAAGTCCCTGGAAACAAAACCTACCAACTAAGCAATGAAGAAACAAAAAAATCTGAATAGCTCTATAAATAGTAAGAAAATTGAATAAGTAATCAAATACCTCTTAACAAAGAAAGATCATAAACCTAATGGCTTCACTGGTAAATTATACCAAACATTAAAGAACCAATGCCAATTTTTCTCAAGTTTTTTCAAGAAAAAATGAAGAGGAGAAAATGCTCCTCTTTTTAAGAGGCCAGCATTAATCTAACACCAAAGCCAGACAAAGACACTATAAGAAAACTACAGATATCCCATATAAACATTGATGCAAAAATCCCCAACAAAATGCTAGCAAACCAAATTGAGTATATTAAAAGGATTGTACACCATAATCAAGTGAAATTTATTTCTTGAATGAAAGGATGGTTCAACATATGAAAACTGATCAATGTAATCAATCACATCAACAAAATGAAGGGAAAAAACACAGAATCTCAAAGCAGAAAAATTACAAAATTTAATGCCCTTTTTATGACAGAAACACTCAACAAACTAGGAATAGAAGGAAGCTATCTCAGTATAATATAAGCCTATATTAAAAACATACAGCAAAGCAAAGGTGTCTGCTTTCACCACTTCTATTCAACATAGCAATGGAAGTCCTAGCCAGATCAAGTAAGCAAGAAAAATAAAAGTCATCCAAATCAGAAAGGAAACAAAATTATCTCTGTTCATGGATGATAGACTCTTATATGTAGAAAGACCCGAAGATTCAACAAAAAAAAATTTAGAAGTAATTAAATTAATTCAGCAAAGTAGTAGAATACAGAGAACACACCAAAATCTGTGTGTTACAAATTCTATACGCTAACAATGAACAATTTGGAAAGGATATTAAGAAAACAATTATATTTCCAGTAGCATCAAAAAGAATAAAGTACTTCAAAATTAACTTAACCAAGAAAGTCAAGAACTGTAAAATATTTCCAAAGAAATTAAAGGAAACATAAATGAATGGAACAACATCGTATATTCATGAATTGGAAGACTAAATATTGTTAACATCTCAAAACTACCATAGCAATCTACAATTTTAATACAATCTCCGTCAAAATCCCAATGACTTTTTGGCAGAAATAGAAAACCCCATTCTAAAATTTATGAGGAATTTCAAGGGGCTCTGAACAGCCTAAACAATCATGTAAAGGAACAAACTCAGATGATTTACCTGAGTTCAAAACTTACTATAAAGCTAAGGTAAATTAAAAGTGTATGTCTGCCCAATGGATCAGTAAAAAAAGAAAACAAAAAAGAAAAAAGAAACACTGTAATATTGGCATAAAGATAGATATGTAGACCAATCAAATAAAAGAGGAAACCCATAAATAAACTCTCACATTTATGGTCTAATAATTTTCACAAGGGTGCCAAGGCCATTCAAGAGAGAAAAGACAGTCTTTTCAACAAATGCTGCTTAGAAAACTGGATATCCACTTGCAAAAGAATGAAGTTGCACTTTTACCTGATACCATATATAAAAGATAACTCAAAATCAATCAAAGACTGAAATGTAACACCTAAAACTATAAACTCTTAGAAAAAAAACACAAGACAAAAGCTTCATGGCGGTGGATTTGGCAACAATTTCTTGGAGATGACACCAAAAGCACAGGAAAAATAGGCAAAATTCATGATTTTGTTTTCAATTTTGGGACTACAGTTTAATAGAACGTGAATCTAAACTCCTACATTTACAACAAGCAAACCCTTAAAATTACTGATTGATTCAAAATGGTTTTATGGAAAAATTAATTTGTAACAAAAACTTGGCACTGGGTGCAAAGGCTCCACAGGTTTTTTTGTGCTTTGGGGTTTTTAGTTGTTGTTTTGTTTTGTTTATTGGGTTTTTTGTTTTGTTTTGTTTTGCCGTTTTTTAACAAAAGTTCCAAGGGACAGGACAAGGGGCTCAGATATCGACAACAGCAGGCATTTTCTCTTCCTCTACTTCAAGGGAGGTCGGGGGAAAACTGGTTGCATAGCTTAATCAAACACTATCTTGAGGCCTGGCTGAAGACTCCAGGTATTTTACAGCACCTAAACCCGGTAGTTAGGTGATAGAAGTCTGCTGCTTCTCCTTCAGTGTTTCAATCTTGTCTTTCTCTCCCTAAGATCAAGTTTTGTTCCCATAAGGATGATGGGAGGGCTGTGACAATGGTGCTACACTTCAGGACACAACTTGGCACGGACATTTTCTAATGATGCAGGACTCACAAGGGAAAAGCAAATTAAGAATACATCTGTTTGTGGATAGGAACGGGGTTGGGGGTCGTAACCTGTCCACCTGTGTAATCTTCTTGTCCACTTGTATCTCATAAACCCAGATTCACCAGTTTCCTATTTAACATAACACTGGCATACTGATTGTCAAAGACAATAGGGATATATTCTCCAGGTTGTATAGCTGATCACTGATGAGTTGGGAAGTTTTCCCTACAGCTCCATCTCCCACCACTGCACACTTGATGGCCTACATCTCGGCCGCTGGTTGGGCTGGCCATGGCAGAAATACTGGGCTCAAGGTGCTGCTGGTGGGGCACAGATGCAGGCTACCAGCACTGGGTGCGTGGCCACTGTTGGCAACGCCTCACCCTCCTCCAGCTGGAAGCAGAAGCCTAGCAGCTTCCCTCAGCCAAAGCTGAAGGAAACTGCCCAAGAATAATTTTAAATGTCTTTAAATCAAAAGACTATACTAACAAAGTACAAGGGTAATGTACACAACAAGAGGAAATATTTGCAACTTGTGTATCTAATATGCGATTAATATCCAGAATATATAGAGAACTCCTAAAACTCAACAGCAATAAAAGAAAACAAATAACCTTATTCAAAAATAGACAAAGGATTTGCATGGACATTTCTCCAAAGGAGACATACAAATAGCCAAGATGTTCAACATCATCAATCATTAGGGAAATGCAAGTCAAAACTGCAAGATACCACTTCACTTCCATTAGGGTTGTTAATATTAAAAAGAAAAAGAAAATAACAAATATTAGTGAGAAAGTGGAAAAGTTGAAACCCTTGTGCACTGCTGCTCAAAAAGTAAAATAGTACAGCCACTGTGGAAAACAGTATGGCAGTAACTTTGAAAAATCAAAAACAGAGTTACCATGTAATCCAGTGAATCCTTCTGAGAGATATTTGTACTTCCATGTTAATAGCAGTGTTATTCTAAATAGCTAAAACATAGAAACAACCCAAGTGTCTATTGGGTAATAAATGGATAAGCAAAATGTGGCACATGCATACAACTGAATATTATTCAGCCTCAAGGAGGTAAATTCTGATACATGCTACAACTTGGATGCACCTTGAGGACATTATGCTAAGTGAAATAAGCCAGTTACAAAGAGACAAATACTTTATGATTCCCCTTATAGGAGGTGTCTAGAGTAGTCAAATTCATAGATACAGAAAGCATAGTAGTTGCCATAAGGCAGAAATTTAAAATAATAATAATAATTAATAAGTACTGCATTTATTCACTCCAAGAAAAGTAAAAGCTAAGGCCCAGAATGTGGCAAGGCAAAGGTTAAAAAGAAAAGAACAAGTTTTCCTCTGCCTAGCAGCTCACTTCAAGGACAGTTAGAAGATAATGCTGTCCGAATAGCCAAGGCCAAAAAAATAGACTCCAGACACACCCCCTCCCATCCAGAGCATGGTTGAAAGAAAGTACAGAGAAAGACAGATTCTTTTACTGTTACTCTTTTCCCAGGCTTCTTAAGCATGATTAGCATGATTGTGTTTCACAAATGTCTGTATTTAGCCAGTTCTTGTTTTTCTTTTAATGCAGCTACAAGGCCACAGGCTAGGTCACAAGTTAATGTTATGCTATAGATTATGTGACCTATTACTGTATGATTAACTGCTTTTATTTTGCTTCTGTAAGGTCACTTATAAAAACCCAACTCTGTCTTCGTTCAGGGTTCAGCTTTTGGATGTGAATTCTCTGAGCCAGTGTGTTCCTAAAATAAACAAATCCTCCTGTACTCCATATTGGTCTCTCCGTTCCTCAGTTTACCGCAACATTTTTGGTGACCACGAAGGGACTGGAGACAGCAGGCTTACTGTCTCCTTTGCCTCTGGGGGCTGGAGCACGGGCCTCGGGAAACCTGTGACCCCAGGCACCGCCGGGAGAACTTCAGCCCAGAGGGAAGATCAGCTCTGCCCTGACCCGGTGCCCCTACCCAGCAGCGCCACGGAACCTAAAGAGAGGCTACACAATAATTTCAAAAGCAGCATGCTTCAGGAACTGCAGTAGGTTTTGGAGGCCCAAGGTAGGACCCATCCCCTGGACAAAAGGGGAGCCTGATCACCTCCTGGGGTGCTGAATAGTTCGACCCACAGGGGCTGGGAGCGACTAGAGTGGCTCGTCAATTCGGATGAAACTCACACCCACCGCACTGACACAGGATGCAAGAGTGGATTCCTCGGTAAGTCAGGATTCCTAGCTAAGTCAGCTAGGAATCTGGAGATGGCAAGAGTGGCTTGCCACCCCAACTGGGAACTGGAGGTGGCAACAGTGGCTTGCCAACTGCAAAACTAGAGGGGGCAAGAGTGGCTCGCCACCCCAATTACGAACATGAGAACTAAGTGTGTGAAAGTGTGTGAAGGGAGGGGCTTAATTAGGCTCATCAGCTGCGAAATGGGGAGTCACAGATCTTAATGTGGACTGTGTGCTCCAAGAAACTGTGGGGCCGACTAAGACTAGTGGCAATCTGCATACAGCTAATAGGAGCTGCCCTACAGCTCAGAGTTGTAGTAGGAATAAGGACCTCTCCAAAGCCAAGCAGCATCTGAAAACTCCCATAATAGGAGACGGTGTAGTCGGCCAAAACTAGAGAAGAGTGTGCAAGAGTGAATGTGCTGTGTCGTAAAGGGAGGAATGGGAGGAAAGTCATAAAAACGTCAAAACTTACTCTATTGGAGTGCATGTTACAGAACCTTAAGAAAAGCTTTTCAGGGGATTATAGAGTTAAGTTAACCTCTCCGAGGTTGAGAACTGTCTGTGAATTAGAATGGCCCGCTTTCCGCGTTGGATAGCCAACCGAAGGAACTATAGACAGGAAACAATTGGCCATGTATTTAAGGTGGTGACAGGGGTCAGAGGACAGCCAGTGTACCCAGATCAAATTCCTTTATATTGACTTATGGTTAAATATAATATAGACCAAACTGGCATAGATCCAGCCCAATTCAATGGCTTATTGCAAAAAAGCCAAAACTGAAAGTAAGAGCAGCTTCGCCAGCAGACACAGAGTTAAAGGGAGAATCCCAGAGAGAGCAAGAGAAGCCAGTTTTGCAGGAGCCTCCAGAGGTAACAGAAATTCTTTCTCCATATGTCCTAGCCTATCCCCCCTTTCACCAAGACCAACAGCCCTCCAGGAACCAGATTCAGGAGCTAACACCCCCCAGATCTCACCTCAAAAGGGAGGATCAGAGCCTCGAGAGGTTAGGAAAAGAAGTCAAGAGACTCAAGCGGGCCGTCTTAGATCTAGCCGCACTCGAGCTACGCAAATGCCTCTGAGGGAGATGCGAAGACTTATCTATGATGATGACCAGGATCCCAACTGGGACCCGGAGGATGCAACTCAGCTTCAGCATTGCAGAGGTACCAAGAGGCACTTCAGTAGGAGCTAAGAGTTGGTAGAAGGAAAGCAATTAATATAAGGAAGATTTCAGAAGTGCTTCAGGGAGCTGAGCAGAGCCTAAGTCAGTTGTATGAGATACTCTGTGAAGCATTCTGGCTTTACACCCCATTTAACTCTGGGGCTGCTGAACATCAGCACATGGCGAATACTTCATTTGTAGGGCAAGCCCAGGGTGACATCAAGCAGAAGTTGCAGGCATGAATACCAGTCTATAAAAGTGGCCACAAAGGTGGATGTTAACTGTGACCAGGGAACAAAACAGGAAAGAGCAAAAGCAACAAGAGCAGCAGCTAGGCATGCCAAGGGTTAAGTCCCTCTCCCCAGTCCATCTCTATCTGGAAAAAGAGGGGGCCAGGGACTGATGCCAGAAGAAGAGCAAAGAAGAAGGAAAGGAGAAAGTAAGAGTACATGTGAGAAAGGAAAGAAGAAAGTAAAAAGGAAATCAGAAAGAAACAGGAGAGAGAGATGGCAGTGCTCAGGGGCAGGGCCCATGCCATTGCCCAGCCCTGCTGGCTGGCTGCAGGAGCAGGAGAACTCAGGAAGCAAAAAGGAAAGTAAATCGAAGGCTTAAGAAAAAGGTCAATCTGTTGGCAACAGCTCTTATAGAAAGAGAGATTAGCAATGTGAGAGAACACAGCGGACACAGACGTAGATGTGGAAGAATTCAAGTTAGGCAAGGATTCAAGAGCTGGACAAGTCTAGAAAGAGATTAATGTGTGAGATGCAAAAAGAAAGGACACAGGAAGGATGAATGTTCAGAAGGCAATGGCCAAGGCTGCAAGACAAAGAGGCCATCGGCCAAGGGCTGCCGCACCTTGGAGGAACCAAATACTGATCTGATCAGGCTGGCAGGAGCTGAAGAATGTAAGGACTTGGGTAGACTGGGCACCTTCTCATTAGGCTTCCAGGAGCCCATGGTCACATTAGAAGTTAAAGGCAGCAGGATTCTGACATATCTGGATTGCAATTTCTCACTGATGGCTAAGTCACTAGATGGAGTTACAAAGGGAGGAGAAAAAGAACCCTTCCTCTGGGAAACTGAACAGGAGAAGGAGCCATGCCTTGTGAAAACTTGTTTATAGACTTTACAGAACTTCCCTGTGCCGGCTATCAGTACCTGCTAGTGCTTGATTGCACCTTTTCAGGGTAGGTTGAAGCTTTCCCTATCGGGACAGAAAAAGTATGAGAAGCGACTGAAGTACTGTTAAAAGACATTATCCCCAGGTTTGGACTGCCTCTAACTTTACAGTCAGACAATAGGCCAGCATTTGTAGCTGAAATAGTGCAAAATTTAACAAGACTGTTAAAAATAAAATGAAAGTTACATACAGTCTGTCAGCCGCAAAGTTCAGGAAAACGTCAAACGCATGAACCAGACACTCAAGCAGCTACTGAAGAAATATTGCCAGGAAATTCATTAGAGATAGAATCAGGTTTTTGCCTATGGTCCTCCTCCGAGTCAGGTGCACCCCCACCAAACAAACTGGGTATTTGCCCTATAAGATTGTGTTCAGTCAGCCACCCCCAAATCATAGGTCGAATTAAAGGTGACCTCCAGGAACTAGGGGAATTAACCTTAAGAAAGCAAATGCAGGCTTTAGGAATAGCTATACAAAGTGTTCATAATTAGGTACATGAAAATGCCTATAAGCCTCACACCCCTTTAAATCTGGTGACTCTGTTTAGGTTAAAAAGTAGAATCTAATTTCTCCAGGATCCATATAGGGTGAGCCCTATATTGTAACCTTGTCCACTCCCACTGCTGTTAAAGTTGCAGGTGTTGTGTCTTGGATCCACCACAGTCAGCTAAAACCAGCAGCTCAGGACAAGTGAACCAGCTAGCAGAACCCAGATCAGCCAATCCAGCTGATCCCAAGATGAGACCAAGTTGTTGCTGAGGGTGATAGCCCTGCTCTGGTCACTCCGGAGGCTGACTAGTCTATACACAACTGAAACTTGAGGAAACAACAAGCCCTGCTCTAGTCACATACCAGAAGCTGACTAGTCTATGCACGGCCAAAGCTTAAGGACTCATCAAGCAAGTAATATAGTTAGAAATCTTAGGACTAGTGGTTTTCCTGTATATTAACTGTTTTATTATTGTTTTGTCATTATGCTCAACCCTTTTCCCAGATAAGGACCTCTTTTGTCCTTGCTGGATATGAATATAGTGTACATTGTTTTATTGTTGTTACCACCCTTAACCATGCTAGAAGGAACACCTATAGAGGGGTATCTCCACTGTACACATACTACTTGGTCAAGGAACAGGATAACTAGAACCCTATTGTACTATACTTATTATGAGTGTACAAGGATTCACTTAGGAGCTTGTACTTATAATCAGACCACCTATTCAATTTGTGACCCAGGAAATGGCCAGCCTTATATATGCTATGACCCTAATTCTCCACCTGGGACTTAGTTTGAGATTCATACCAAGTCAAAAGGAGGAAGTCTTATAAGTCAAACCCAAGCCTCTCTTTCCAGAGGGGGTGCTATATCCATATACTTTGATATTTGTCAGTTAACATCCATGAACCCAACCTATTTCACAATCTCTGGTCCTACAAGGTACCATACAAACTGCCAGTACAAAATTGTATGTGCACTCCCTGTTTATTCTTCCAACGCCTGCTTACCAGAACTGCACAACGCAGTTCACTGACACACCATCACCAAAGCCAAAGCCAATCTTGCTCATCAAAGTACCAGCAAAACCAGATTGTAAGACAAGCACTTGCAATCCTGTAAATCTTACCATCTTAAAGCCAGATCTACCTATATGGACTACAGGTTACTTCTTGGCTTTACAAAGCTACGGTCGAAAAGCTAAAATAACTTTGTATATTCTAAAGAGGACTCGAACCAAGCAGTCAGCCCAGCAACAATTCCGAGTCTTTAAGTCATTCTTTGAGCATATAAACCAGAAGTTACCAGAGCCTCCTCCTTTAGCCAAAAACCTATTTGCTCAGCTGCCTGAAAACATTGCTGGCAGCCTGGGAATTTCCTCATGTTATGTTTGTGGAAGTACTAACATAGGAGACCAATGACCTTGGGAAGCAAAAAAGTTAATGTCTCAAGATAACTTTACTCTAACTGACTCTTTCCCCAAATAGATGCCCACAAGTTAAGCGTCTGGCTCTTAAAAACTTCTATTATTAGGAGATACTGTGTTGCTCACTGGGGAAAGGCTTTTACAGACCCAATAGGAGAACTAAACTGCTTAGGACAGCAGTATTATAATGAAACATTAAGGAAAACTTTGTAGCAGGGCAGAGATGACTACAAAGTACCTCATCCAAATCCATTCTCCTGTTTCTCTTCTCTAAACCACACTTGGTATCAACTTTAAGCTCCAAATACTTGGCAAGTACCCCCCAGTCTTTATTGGATCTGTGGGCTATGGGCATATAGACAGTTGCCAATTAAATGGGCAGGTGCCTGTGTGCTTAGAACAATTAGACCATCTTTCTTCCTACTCCCACTGCAACAGAGAAAAACTTTAGGGTATCCTGTGTATGATGAACTTAGAAGAAGAAACAAAAGAGATGCAGACATGAAGAGAGATATAAAAATAGGAGATTAAAAAGACACAGATGAGCCCCCTGAAAAAATAATTCAATACTATGGGCCAGCTACCTGGGCACAAGTTGGGTCATAGGGATACTGCGCTCCTATTTACATGCTTCACCACATCATAAGGTTGCAGGCAGTACTTGAAATCATCACTAATGAAACAGCAAATGCATTAGATTTACTGGCCCAGCAAACCACAAAAATGAGAAATTGTTATCTATCAGAACAGACTACCTCCTAGCCCAGGAAGGAGGAGTATGTGGAAAGTTCAGTCTCACTAATTGTTGTCTGGAAATCAATGACAATGGAAAAGCAATTATGGATATAACTGAAAGAATGAGAGAATTAGCCCATGTTCCAGTTCAAACCTGGAAAAGGTGGTCCCCAGATTCTCTCTTTGGAGGCCAGTTTTCATTTTTCAGAAGGTTCAATACTTTAATAGGAGTGGTTCTGGCCGTGCTAGGAAGTTGCCTAATACTCCATTGTCTCTTACCTCTCCTTGTTAGAAGCATTCAATCAACTATAGAGGCAATAGTAGCTAGGCAAACTACCTCTCAGCTAATGGCTCTGTGTAAATATCCACCTCTGTCTAAAGAAGAAAACTTGTCTCTTCAGGCAGGACTAAGTAATAGTGATGCCTTTTATTAAACTTCTTTTATAAAAGGCATCAAAGGGGGAAAAACTGAGGCAGAAATTTAAAATAATAATAATAAGTACTGCATTTATTCACTCCAGGAAAAGTAAAAACTAAGGCCCAGAATGTGGCAAGGCAAAGGTTAAAAAGAAAAGAACAAGTTTTCCTCTGCCTAGCAGCTCACTTCAAGGACAGTTAGAAGAAAATGCTGTCCGAATAGCCAAGACCAAAAAAATAGGCTGCAGACACACTCCTCCCTTCCAGATTAAGGTTGAAAGAAAATAAAGAGAAAGACAGGTTCTTTTACTGTTACTCTTTTCCCAGGCTTCTTAAGCATGATTAGCATGATTGTGTTTCACAGATGTCTGTATTTAGCCAGTTCTTGTTTTTCTTTTAATGCAGCTACAAGGCCACAGGCTAGGTCACAAATTATGTTATGCTATAGATTATGTGACCTATTACTGTATGATTAACTGTTTTTATTTTGCTTCTGCAATGCCGCTTATAAAAACCCAACTCTGTCTTCGTTCAGGGCTCAGCTTTTGGATGTGAATCCTCTGAGCTGGAGCGTACCTAAAATAAACAAATCCTCCTGTACTCTGTATTGGTCTCTCCGTTCCTCAGTTTACTGCAACAGCTATGACCTGGGGGAAGGGTAAATGGGGAGTTATTGTTAAATAAATGCATTGTTTTAGTTTTGTAAGATGAAAAGCATTATGGAAATGGATCATGGTGATGAAGGTTGTACAAAAATATGAATATACTTAATACCACTGAATGTACACTTAAAATGATTAACAAAATACATACTATGTAATACATATTTTACCACAATAAAAACTTGGAAACAGATGTGGCTGGCAAGATGGCTGAATAGGAACAGCTCTGGTCTGCAGCTCCCAGTGAGATCAATGCAGAAAGCCAGTGACTTCTGCATTTCCAACTGAGGAACCCAGCTCATCTCATTGGGACTAGTTAGACAATGGGTGCAGCCCACAGAGGGTGAGCAGAAGCAGGGTGGGGTGTCGCCTCACCCAGGAATCACAAGGGGTCAGGGAACCCCCTCCCTTAGCCAAGGGAAGCTGTGAGGGACTATGCCATGAGGAATGGTGCACTCTGGCCCAGATACTACAATTTTCCCATGATCTTCACAACCCACAGACCAGAAGATTCCCTCGGGTGCCTTTGTTGATGTTGATGCTATTCCACCAGGGCCCAGGGTTTCAAGTACAAAATTGGGTGGCCATATGAACAGACACCAAGCTAGCTGCAGGAGTTTTTTTTGTATCCCAGTAGCACCGAGAACACCAGTGAGACAGAACTGTTCACTCCCCTGGAAAGGGGGCTGAAGCCAGGGAGCCAAGTGGTCTAGCTAAGCGGATCCCAGCCTCATGGGATCCACTGGCTTGAAACTCCCACTGCCAGCACAGCAGTCTGAAGTTGACCTGGGATACTCAAGCTTGGCATGGAGAGGGGCATCCACCATTAATGAGGCTTCAGTAGAAATTTTTTCCTCTCACAGTGTAAACAAAGACTCCCGGAAGTTCTAACTGGGCAGAGCCCACCGCAGCTTGGCAAAGATGCTGTAGCCAGACTGCCTCTCTAGATTGCTCGTCTCTGGGCAGGGCATCTCTGAAAAAAATGGCGGCAGCCCCAGTCAAAGGCTTATAGATCAAACTCCCATCTCTCTGGGAATGAACACCTTGGGGAAAGGGTGAATGTGGGTGCAGCTTCAGCAGACTTAAATGTCCCTACCTGCTGGCTCTGAAGAGAACCGTGGAGCTCTCAGCACAGTCCTCAAGCTCTGCCAGGGGACAGACTGCCTCCTCAAGTAGGTCCCTGACCTCTCTGCTTCCTGACTGGGAGACACCTCCAAAGAGGGGTAGACAGACACCTCATACAGGAGAGCTCCAGCTGGCATCTGGCGGTTGCCCCTCTAGGTACAAAGCTTTCAGAGGAAAAAATGGTCAGAAAGCTTTGCTGTTCTGTAGCCTCTGCTGGTTATATCCAGGCAAACAGGATCTGGAGTGGACCTCCAGCAAACTACAGCAGACATGCAGCAGAGGGGCCTGACTGTTAGAAGAAAAACTAAAAAACAGAAAAGGATAGCATCAACATCAACAAAGAGGATGTCCACACAGAAACCCCATCCAAAAGTTAGCAACATCAAAGACCAAAGGTAGATAAATCCACGAAGATGAGGAAAACCCAGCGCAAAAGGACTGAAATTTTCAAAAATCAGATTGCCTCTTCTCTTCCAAAGGATCACAACTCCTCGCCAACAAGGAAACAAAACTGGACAGGGAACGAGTTTGATGAATTGAAAAAAAAGTAGGCTTCAGAAGGTGGGAAATAACAAATTCTTCCAAGTTAAAGAAGCATATTCTAATCCAATGCAAGGAAGCTGAAAACCTTGGAAAAGGTTACAGGAATTGCTAACTGGAACACCCACTTTACAGACTAACATAAATGACCTGATGGAAACGAAAAACACAGCATGAGAACTTCGTGAAGCATACACAAGTATCAATAGCTGAATCAATCAAGCAAAAAAAAAAAACATGATATCAGAGATTGAAGATCAACTTAAGGAAATAAAGCATGAAGACAAGATTGGGGAAAAAAGAATAAAAAGGAACGAACAAAGCCTCCAAGAAATATGGAATGATGTGACAAGACTAAACCTACATTTGATTGGTGTACCTGAAAGTGACGGAAAGAAGGAAACCAAGTTGGAAAGCACTCTTCAAGGTATTATCCAGGAGAACTTCTCCAACCTAGCAAGGCAGGCCAACATTCAAATTCAGGAAATACAGAGAACACCACAAAGATACTCCTCAAGACGAGCAACCCCAAGACACATAATCATCAGATTCACAAAGGTTGAAATGAAGAAAATAATGTTAAGGGCAGCCAGAGAGAAAGGTTGGGTTACCCACAAAGGGAAGCCCATCAAACTTAACAGGGGATCTCTGCAGAAATGCTACAAGCCAGAACACAGTGGGGGCCAATATTCAATATCTTTAAAGAAAAGAATTTTCAAGCCAGAATTTCATGTCCAGACAAGCAAAGCTTCATAAGTGAAGGAGAAATAAAATCCTTTACAGATAAGCAAATGCTGAGAGATTTTGTTACAACCAGGCCTGCTATACAAGAGCTCCTGAAGGAAGCACTAAAAGAAAAACAGGTACCAGCCCCTGGTAAACATATCAAATTGTAAAGACCATCGACACTATGAAGAAACTGCATTAACTAACAGGCAAAATAACCAGCTAGCATCATAATGACAGGATCAAATTCACATATAACAATATTAACCTTTAATGTAAATGTGCTAAGTGCCTCAACTAAAAGACACAGACTGGAAAATTGGATAAAGAGTCAAGACCCATCAGTCCTGTATTCAGGACGCCCATTTCACATGCAAAGACGCACATAGGCTCAAAATAAAGAAATGGAGGAATATTTACCAAGCAAATAAAAAGCCAAAAAAGCAGGGGTTACAATCCTAGTCTCTGATAAAAACAGACTTTAAACTAACAAAGATCAAAAAAGACAAAGAAGGGCATTACATAATGGTAGAGGGATCAATCCAACAAGAAGAGCTAACTATTCTAAAAATATGTGCACCCAATGCAGGAGCACCCAGATTCATAAAGCAAGTTCTTAGAGACCTACAAAGAGATTTAAACACTCACACAATAATGGTGAAAGACTTTAACACCCCACTGTCTATATTAGACATATCAAAGAGACAGAAAATTAACAAGGATATACAGGACTTGAACTCAGCTCTGGACCAAGCAGACCTAATAGAAATCTACAGAACTCTCCAACCGAATTCAACAGAATATGCATTCTTCTCAGCACCACATCGCACTTATTCTAAAATTGACCACGTAATAAAAAGGAAACAACTCCTCAGCAAATGCAAAAGAATGGAAATCATAGCAGTCTCTCAGATAACAATGCAATCAAATTAGAACTCAGGATTAAGAAACTCACTCAAAACTGCACACCTACATGGAAACTGAACAACCTGCTCCTGAATGACCACCAGGTAAATAACGACATTAAGGCAGAAATAAATAAGTTCTTTAAAACCAATGAGAACACAGACAAAATGTACCAGAATCTCTGGGACACAGCTAAAGCAGTGTGTAGAGTAAAATTTACAGCACTAAATGCCCACAAAAGAAAGCAGGAAAGATCTAAAATTGACACCCTAACATCACAATTAAAAGAACTAGAGAGGCAAGAGCAAACAAATTCAAAAGCTAGCAGAAGACAAGAAATATCTAAGATCAGAGCAGAAATGAAGGAGATAGAGACACAAAAAACCCTTCAAAAAAATCAATGAACCCAGGAGGTGGTTTTTTGAAAAGATCAACAAAATAGATAGACCACAAGTCAAACTAATAAAAAAGAAAAGAGAGAAGAATCAAAGAGACACACTAAAAAATGATAAAGAGGATACCACCACTGATCCCACAGAAACACAAATTATTATCAGAGAATACCATAAACACCTCTAAGCATCTACACTAGAAAATTTTAAAGAAATGGATAAATTCCTGGACACATATACCCTACCAAGACTAAACCAGAAAGAAGTCAAATTCCTGAATAGACCACTAAAAAATTCTGACATTGAAGAAGTTAATTAATATCCTACCAATCAAAAAAGCCCAGTACCAGATGGATTCACAGCTGAATTCTACCAGCAGTACAAAGAGGCGCTGGTACCATTCCTCCTGAAACTATTCCAACCCACAGAAAAACAAGAACTCCTCCCTAACTCATTTTATGAGGCCAGCATCATTCTGATACCAAAATCTGGCAGAGACACAAAAACAAAGAAAAGTTCAGGCCAATATCCCTGATGAACATCAATGCGAAAATCCTCAATAAAATACTGGCAAACCATATCCAGCAGCACATCAAAAAGCTTATCCACCATGATCAAGTCAGCTTCATCCCTGGGATGCAAGCCTGGTTCAGCATACACAAATCAATAAATGTAATCCATCACATAAACAGAACGAATTACAAAAACCACCTGATTATCTCAAGAGATGCAGAAAAGGCCTTCAATTAAATTTAACACCTCTTCATGCTAAAAACTCTCAATAAACAAGGTATTGATGGAACATATCTCAAAATAATAAGAGTTATTTATAACAAACCCACAGCCAATATCATACTGAATGGACAAAAACTGGAAGCATTCCCTTTGAAAACCAGCACAACACAAGGATGCCCTCCTTCAACACTCCTATTCAACATAGTATTGGAAGTTCTGGCCAAAGCAAACAGGCAAGAGGAAGAAATAAAGAGTATTCAAATAGAGAGGAAGTCAAATTGTCTGTGTTTACAGATGACATGATTGTACATTTTGAAAACCCCATCATCTCAGCCCAAAATCTCCTTAAGCTGATAAGTAATTTCAGCGGTCTCAGGATACAAAAATCAATGTGCAAAAATTACAAGCCTTCCTATACACCAGTAATAGACAGCCAAATCATAAGTGAACTCCCATTCACAATCGTGGCAAAGAGAATAAAATACCTAGGAATACAACTTACAAGGGATGTGAAGGACC